AGAGAGAGAGAGAGAGAGAGAGAGAGAGAGAGAGAGAGAGAGAGAGAGAGAGAGAGAGAGAGAGTGGGAGAGATAGAGAATGAGAGAGAGATTCCCTTCAGTCTGACACAAGGTGTGCCATCTCCCTTCTTCCTGCCAAAAATGTGTACTATGTAGTATGTACAGACGAAAAAAAAAATCCTTTAGCGACAATCCAAGCCAACCCAAAGGAAAGAGAACAGTTGAAGAAACGCAAGACCGATCTCCTTTCCCGATCTGCAAAGAACAGGTGGTACTAGATACAGCATCACCAATCACAACTCATTTCTGGTGCTGGTTGCTCACAGACACCTCCATATTCTCTCTGCTACACTTGGGCCGGCTGAGTGTACATTGCATAACATAGGAGCAGCAAGCATTTCTGCAAATGCCTGCAGCTGTAGAGCGATGAGTATTACTCCACACCAGCATGGCTGTCCTGCTGGAGCTAAAGCTGCTAAACAAATAAAAAGGGAAAGGAGGGGAAAAAAATGTTGGACCACGTTAACGCACACGTCGAGTGATTTGTGTTTCTCCGTTTGAACCGTTTCTCTCTTTGGTCCCTCCCCCCCACCCCCCTGGTGCCCACACATCCTACAATCTCAGTTTGAAGCACAGACAGGACGAGTCCCCCACCCTGGGCGATCGTCAGCAAGGCAAGCAGTGCTGTGGGTGTAGCACTTAGGCATACAATGACTCGCTCTCACTCTGTGTATTACAGCGGCATCGGTTCTCGTACCTCCTCCGGCACGCTCTGACTGACAGGCGTGCCACCTTCACTGGGAATTGCAGAGTCCATTCCCTGCGTCGGGTCCTGTACCTCTTTGCCGGCAATGCCGGGCTTTGCGGAGAGTGTTCCCTGCGCTGGCTCTGGTGCCTCTTCACTGGGATTTGTGGAGTCCGTTTGCTGCATGAGGCGTTTACGCTTTGCAGAGTGCGTTCCCTGTGTCGCGTGCGGTACCCCTTGACTGCACTTTCCAGAGATCCTTCCCTTTTTCCTTTTCTCATTTAACACGAGGGCACCAAAAGCAGTGAAGAGAAGCACAACCACGACAGCAGCCGGCCACCAGGTCCAAGTGCCGTTTATCTTGCCGATTCTGTCCAACTCTTTGCTCCAGCTGCGGTCTTCATTGTCATGCGCTGAGCTTAGAACAGGAGAAGGTCTTTGTGGCCGAGTATCCGCGGCGGCGGTATTTCTCGGTGGCTGCGAGGGACTAGCACCCTCATCATTTCCACTGCTTTCTACGACCTCTTCTTTTGCCGGCTCGGAAGAAGGAGCGCCTCCATCGCTTGTTCCACCTGTCGACAGTTCTCGCATTACTGTCGACAGTTCTTGCATTAGCCTTCCTGTCGTCCCCGTCATTGCATCTGTAGATTCCGCACCTCTATCCTGTTCAGCCGCGGCAACGGTAGACAGGCGGGTCGTATCATCAGCAGCAGCAGCAGCGGCCGTATCGGACATTGTCGACTCTTCATAAACCCCATAAAGGTGGGGTCCATCAAGACTGACCACTTGATCGTTAAGGTGAGCTTGAATCCCGGCGAGAGCTTCGGCCACTCTGGCGTTAATCAAACGGGACTCTGAGACGAGCGGGGAACTCAAAAGAAGTACGCCAACGAGCAACGTCATAACATCTGGGGTTGCAGCCATAACCATGTTTGCAATTCCTTTCGTTTTTTGTTTTTTAATCTCTTTTTCCCCCCCTTATCGAAACAGATACTACACTTGTCAATGATCTATTTTTAGCCACAACAAGTCCAAGAAAGGTATTCCTTCAAGGCACAGGATTTCCCACAAAACAGATACTACACTTTATCTATTTTTAGCCAAAAGGCCAAAAAAGGTATACTCCCCCAAGGCTCAAGGCACAGTATTTCCCCCAGGAAAGCCTCTCCGTTGTCCAGTACCCTCTTTTAAATTCCTGCTTCCTTATGTCGCTTCGAATCAGAGAGTCGACCTGCTCTTCCCTAGACCAAACAGTCTACGACCAATCTCAGAGTTGTCGGACCAAGACTTGTAACGACATCCTTAGATTAGGATCTTATAGAATGTATCTGATGGCAAATGCAGCCAGATTCTGTGCAACAGGCACAAGTGTGAATGCGCTCGGAGGTAAGGTAGATCTCCACAAGGAAGCAATGGAAACATAGTAGTCGTAGTTTCGTCTTCATGGCTCATAGGCACATACATCCGTTTGGACCGTTTGTATTTTTGCATAACGGTTACCCCGAAAGTGGACTCTTAAATCAATTTCGAGTCTCCGACAATTCTGGGTCTTGCATCCCTAGGAGGACCCCTAAAAGCGGAATCCCCTGTCCAGTAGTAGGACCAATCTGATCCTTTTTTCTTGATTAATTTCAGACAATTCGGAATCTTACATCCTTAGTAGGACCCCTACGATCCACCAAAATAGGACCCCTGTTGTTCTTCGAGACCTCGCACCCCTAAACCGGAGTCCAGCAGAAGGACCCCTACGGTCCACAAAAATAGGACCCCTGTTGTTCTACGAGGCCTCGGACCCCTAAAGCGGAGTCCAGCAGTAGGACCCCTGCTGTCCAGCAATAGGACACCCTGTTGTTCTACGAGGACTCAGACGCCTAAAAGCGGAGTCCAGCAGTAAAACCCCTAAGGTCCAGCAATAGGACCCCTGTTGTTCTACCGTCTTCTACGAGACCGCAGATTTGGAGCTGGGCCCTGAGGCTCTATCTCTCTCCAACCCTTTCCACATCAAAACACATTAACCGTTTTCCGCAAAGCTCCCCCCTATCATGAATTGGATCCATGCACACCCGGACAGACATCGTCAGATTCCGTCCGACTCGGCATTTTCGAAGCAACGTCGTTCTCTGTCCCTCTCCTGGATGCAAAGTTGGAATAAGCAGAGACCCGGAAAAACAAACAACGAGATTCGGAACGCAACTGCAAGCTTTCTGTAGTTTAGCTGTAACAGATACCGATCGTACTTTGCGGACACAGTTGGTTTGAACCAGCATCTCAGGAGTTAGATGGATGGTCGCCTAACGTAAGAATAGCAAGGAGATCAAAATAGGGAGGAGAGCGTCTCAGGAGTTATAGATGTTGTGATTATTCAACCAAAAGGCATCGCAAACCAAAACGAGACTACGTACATTAGAGCAACGAGCATGAGATAGGCAGAAGAATATGCCATAGACAAGAGGTATAGTCAAGGTCATAAAATTTAACTTGATTAGCATGAAGCTCGTGTGAAGGCAAATGATCGCAACGTCGAGCCACAGCTATAGATGGATGGTTGCCAGTGTAACAATAGCAAGGAGAGCGTCTGAGCAGCTATAGATGGATGGTTGTGAGCATAAGAATAGGGAGGAGAGTGTCTGAGGAGCTATAGATATGGATGGTTGTGAGCATAAGAATAGGGAGGAGATCGTCTGAGGAGCTATAGATATGGATGGTTGCCAACATAATGGATGGTGGCCAACATAAGAATAGGGAGGGGAGTGTCTGAGGAGCTATAGATGGATGGTTCGTGGCGTGAGAATAGAGAGGAGAGGAGAACGTCTCCGGAGCTATAGATGGATGGTTCCCGGCGTACTAAGAATAGGGAGGAGAGTGTCTCAGCACTTATAGATGGATGATCGCCAACGTAAGAAAATAAGGGAGGGGAGAGGGGGGGGGGAGACATGGAGAAATAAAATAGTCAATTTGGAACACAAATTGCAAGATTTTGTGTACTTTGGCTGCTGCAACAGTGTGTAGAGAGATTGCACTGTGAACAGCACTGTGTCAGACTGTCAGTTGCTCTCAACCAACTCCTTAATAGGAGTTTAATAGATGGATCATGGAATTTCCTTGGCGACGCATCAAAGTGCAATGAACCCAGACTGGAAGATACTCGCCAGACGTCGAAATACAAGATAACCCAGACTGGAAGATCTCGACAATGTCTCCCATAATCAGGAATGTGATCTCTGATACAATGTCTCGTTACCTAGGGAGTAGCCCAACAATGACCACCTAGGGAGTAGATGAAGAAAATGGAGGGGGAATAGACAGATAAGAGTCTCAGGGTGGAAGAGGTAATAAACATCAACGACCACCAAGGGAGTAGCCCGACATTTCCCACTCCTTCTCCGGGTTTCCCCTCGCCTCCACATCAGCAAACTGTATTCAGTAATGAGTCTGACAGGGTCTGATCACATCGAAGTGCCATGTGGCATCATGGCCTCAAACTTCGGCGGACTAGCTGTTTGCGATACGAAGATGCGTTAAACGTTTTACAACAGTACATGCACAGAGAAATCGGAAAGAAGAAGGGAACGTGAGAAGGTGCACAGGGACAAGTCACAACACAAGCCAGCAATGCAAGCCAGCAATCAATCAATGAATTCAAAAAAATCAATGTGGCAATTGGTGCAATCATTGTCAATGAATGAACAAACTAAAAAAGGGAAAAGAAAACCAATAACATGCCATTGAATGGGAAAAGATATGACATTGTATTATTTCATTAGCCGTTGTGACAGTTACGCTCTCACTCTTGATTGCTGCGTCCAACAAGCAGGGAAACACAGCTCGTTGTGCACACCAGCAATTTATAAAGAGAATTGAAACGGAACTGAAATGTTTAACAAACCACGCTACTTCTCCTTTCCCATTATTCCGTATTGCTTTCATTCTTTCTTGTGCACACAGTAAAAAGTTAAAAAAAAAAAAAAAAAACAGTTTTCCCGAGTTTTCATGAGCACGTTTTCCATCTTTCGAGTTTCGGCGCACAAATTTGCCACTGGCAGTTTCCTAACAGTAAGGGGGGCGACCCGGCGACCAACAACAACAACAACAAGTAACCCCCTCAGCATGTCCCCCTCCCTGAGCTCCCATTTGCTATTATCCCCTTCCTTCTAACTAGGAAAATGGACGCTGGATCGCATTCACCCCCTACCGCCAGTTGCTTGCTGTGTCTATACTCTGCCACGGTCGCTTAAGCCATACCCGTCAGTGCCCACCGCCAGTCGCTTGCTGTGTCTATACTCTGCCATGGTCGCTTCAGCCATACCCGTCAGTGCCCTCCGGCCGGCCCCACCCTTCCCCTGCACGTACTTTCCACAGTTCTGTGGAAACTGGGTCCAACAAGCTTGGTATTGCGCTTCGCTCCAGCACACAACATTCTACATGCATCTGGTGGCTGTCACAGTCGCAATACATTCAAAATGGTGGGTTTTTTCACATGCATCTGGGCTGCAATTCCGTTGAGATACATGTAGTGTTGTGTAGTGCAGATTGGCCCATATGCGGTGATGGAAAGCGAACTCAAAGCAAGCCCAGAAGCGCAGGCGCAGGGAGCACGCCAGGGAGCGTTTCGCATTCCATCATGTCCTTCACTCTGTTCTTGAGGTTACGATGCTTTTAATTTGAGTTCTGGCCATGGTGACATCTTGGCTTCTGCCTTTTAGTTGTTCAATGCGGATGCTGTGTAGCTATGGGCAATGGCATGTGCTTTACTATCACACACAAGGCAAGAAGTGTGCAGAGAGATTGAACACTGTCAGGGGACAGACTCGAAATTTCCGCCCGGGGCCTGATGAGGTCACTACTGGCGGCGACAGAAACTACCGTAGTAGGGGATTGCCAGTTATACTACACTCTCCGGTGCTTCAACTCTTTCGACCGGCAGTGAGGGTAGGTTTAAGCATGTTAGGTTGCTATGGCGATCTCGGCTTTGAAAGTCCGTTCTGTTGGAGATATATTTCAGGATTTTCTCTCACATATCTCTGCCGACGCATGGTTCTCATGTAACAGCTATGGGTTGCAGTTGGATTTTTTCTGACTCGCTCGCTTTACCACAGCCCAAGTTGAGTGTTTGAGTCCATGACTCCTCTGTTTTTTTTTGTTTTTTGTTTTTTGTTTTTTGTTTTTTGTTTTTTGTTTTTTGTTTCTTCCCCAAAGAAACACAGCACCTTCTATTCTGGGGGGCGTCAGTGCGGTTGCTTATCACCACCAAGCGTATTTCCAGACCATAGAGGGGGAAGGGGGTGGGGGAGGAAAAGAAGGGAAAAGGCTCACAGTCGGCTTTACCCTTGCGGCCCTAGTCACCTGCCCAAGCAGGGGGGTCCCAAGAAGGGCGAGGTGCAAGGGGGGGATCCTAGCAGTCTCACATGCCTCTGGTCGCCATCTCAGTGTCTTCCAGTTTAAATTCGCTAGTAAGATCCCTAATACTCTATTTCTCGTTCCCGCCCACCGGGCGTTTGAAAGGCATCTATTTTATATACAATCTGCTACTCATATCCCTCCATTTGTCATTCTTTCTTTTTCTTTTTTTCTTTTTTTCTTTTCGTTTTTGAAACTTTGTGTCCTCGGAGGTCCTGCTTAACGGGTCACCGTGATAAAAGCATCCTCTTTAAGCAGGCCCGGTGTTGAATGCTTCATCTACAAGTGGGGAGCAGCACCTGCTGGAAACCGGTCCAGCGTCCCTGTACAGCTGTAATGATTGTATAGACTGTAGTCTTGTTTGTGCTTTGTTGTTGTGGGTGCCCTGGCTCTGAGCGCCGCGGCCTTTGTAGCTTGTCCCCCTCCCGTCCTGTGACTCGTATGTCCTATGGGTCTTTTCCTTCCGCTGGGGCCTTCAGCCAACCTCCCAAATTCCATGTATGGATTCCCAGAGCCCTTAACCCCTTCCTAAACCCTATCTGTGTTCCCCTTGGACAGTCCCCCTCGCCCAGATCCTGTTTTCGCAAAACCCTTAACCCCTTGCTTAACCCTATGTGATTCCCAATTTCCCATAGAGAAAGTCCCCCCTGTGTCTTCCTGGTGGAACCCTTATCTCCTTGCTTCACCCNGTGTGTGTGTGTGTGTGTGTGTGTGCCTGCCAGTGTCATTCTCTATTTTTTTCCGTTCGTTCTGCCCCCTTTAAAAAAAAAAAAGGAAAAAAAAACGGAAAAAAAAGGAAAAAAAAAAGGCTTTTCCTCGAGGTTTCAATTTCTTTCTTCTGTTATGACAACAAAAGAAGAAAGCAGCCATTCTTGCCCTCGTCGAAAAGGATATGGCCCCCGATTGAAGAGAGCAGGGTAGGTATTCTATTTTGATGGGAGAAAGGATATCAGGGGGCAGAACGAGCGGAAAAAAAGGAGAGAATGACACTGGCACAGAGAGAGAGAGAGAGAGAGAGAGGAACTTCCAAGTGGAAGGGAGAGAGGAAGGCTAAGGGAAAAGGCGGAACGGACAGAAGGAGAGAGAGAAACAGGGGGGAAGAG